GACGGCCAAAACAAACTCCTTTAAATAAATGGTAGTTGATAGTTCGTCGTATATTATCAATCGTATGAATTTAATACAGTTTTAGAAGTTGAAGACATGGGTTTTATGTTTGGGAAGAGTTCTGCTAAACCCAGTTTGAAGTTGCACTTGTTGTGGCTTGGAATGCAGCCGTTGTATCAACACGTGAAAATCTGTGATTTGGCGTTGTAAACAGAGCGAGGACAATGTCTAAATTATTCATTTATTGTAATTACTCAATTCTTTTCAATAATCTATTGTATTGGTAGCCGTTGCCGTCGCGTTGCCGTCCTAAAATCGTAAGGTCTCTATTTCCAAAAGGCGGAACAAGTCAATTTAGCTAGTTGTAGTTAAATATAAAAGAACAAGTACAATGATCGAATATTGATACGACAAGAAATCATCTGCCAAAACATTTAGCGAGCTATACTAGCTTTTTAAATCTTTATATATTTTACAAACGAATGTCCACATTACTTAAAAATAATTTAAACGGTGTGTTTATACAGGGTGTCCCAAAAAAGTCCCCTATCATATTTTTTGGTACTACATCGTTAACTGTAATCGAATAATCAATTTTTTTCATTTTTTTATCAATGAACATATTACGTTAATCGTTGCATTTTTTCGCACCAAAATATTTAACCGTTTGCCTTCTAGAGTTAGTTAAGTTGGCGACACCAATATTGCCACTTGTCCAAATTGTGAACATTAGGTTTAAACATATTACGGAAGGTAATAAAATATTTTAATGGTAAATGGCTATATATCTTTTCTAAAACTTGTAATTAGTTGTAGCCAAAATTGCGAATTAATTTTCTGTAAAGATAATAAAGCAAATCCCCAGAAAAGGGGAAAGACTAGTGCTGAAATACCAACATTTGTTCTTTCATGGAACAAATTGAACGGGAAACAGCAAATTTAAGGCATTTTCCCAACCTTAGTTTTGCCTTTGTCATTTTGCCAGGGATTTTCATCTTTTTTTATTAATTTCTACAAGGAACAAAAGTTTAATAAAAGAGATAAAAATCATTTTGTTTTGAGCAGAAAGGTGGGTAGAAACTTTAGAAATCCTTCTACAAAGTTTGCATTATTTTTAACCTAATTTCTGTAATTTGGACGGGTTGCAATTTTGGTGTCGCCACCTTATAAGTATCTCTAGAAGCCAAACGGTTAAGTCTTTTGGTGAGATAAACACTACGATTAATATAATATGATTGTTTTTCAACCCACTGCAAAAAAATTTAACCTTTGATTAAATATAGCGAAGTAATACCACCAAATATGACAGGGGACATTTATTTTGGGACACCCTGTATATCTATGACTATGTCTTAATTAAAAATTACAAGAATTCTACGAAGAAGAAACATTTAATTAAATTTGTAATCTAATCTAAGCATGTGAGAGAAACTGCCCTCTTGCAAAAACAACTCAACTCAGAGAAACTGATTTAGCAGCTATTACCGAGTTTGTCTTTATGTTGTTGTTTCGGATGAATAAAAGGAAACAAAATGTTATTTTTTCCGCACAGTTGAGCCATTATCATTTCTCATAATTACACCTGTTTCCCCGTGGGTGCATGGATTTTGAAACGATATTACCATTAATTACTACCATCACTTTCAGAAGTTGTTGGGACACATGTAGTTTTGGATTGTAAGTGGATCGTTATAGTTTTTTTACACACAATACCGCTCCCCTCCCCCTCCCCCCACCCCAATCAATGTTGTTCCAACCAAAACACATCAAACCTGACGAGAAATGGGACACAACATTGAACAGGGGGCGGGTGGATTGAAGTTTGTTGAAATTCAAAGGTTTTGTGGCATCTGTCCCAAGACTTTTGAAACTGATTGTCTGAAAGGCAATGAAAGGCATATTTAACCTCTTTGAATTACCGGGTGTTTTAGAATATCAGTTTCGCGAAAATCATATAGCATTTAGTATAACATGTGTACTGAATTGCATTGGCATATGTTATATCCTTGCTGTGCTTCGGTTGTGGTGAATATCCTTGAAATGTAACACAATCCAGTAGTATATTATATAAATGAGCTTATACTGAAAGATGTGAGTGTGGGGAGGGTAGTATGCCGAGCGATTAAACCTGGTCTATATGCAAGGGAGAAAACACATCTATCTGGTTAACTATCGAACTAGGTTAATGCTAAATAAAATGCAAGGGTAAGTTATCGAAGACCACTTAAAGACTGTGCATATTTGACATGAAAACATGTATGTAATATAAAACGGCTTGAACACGTGCTCGATTGACACTCAGTTGTCACTTTGAAACACATAGCATTTTCATTGATATAACTTTCAATTGTCGCGGCCGCATAATCATTTTCAGAGCATTAAGTACTAAGCAAACGAGTTTAGGGATGGCTTATTGATATATTACGGGTTCTACTTAATCACAAAGTATATAAATTGTATAAAATGTATCGATTGACACTCCACTCTAGAAATATCACTATGATATATCACATTTATTCATGTAAAAGAGTGTCAATCGATCCAAAACTAAAGGCAAAGGCAAAGCAAAGGTTTAATCAATTTCAAATCCTTTCATTAATAGCAAATACATTGTTAGACATTCTCAACAGATTATTCTTAGCCTTGATCTGTTTTAAAAGATGTCTAGTTGCCTGTTATTTCATATTTCTATAGCGACAATCGAAGTGTCAACCGATGTTAGTTTCATTGCATTCGTCTCGTCCGGAAACGCTTATTAGCATAATTAGCGTTTTATCACTAACGTCAGTGTTGTATAATGCGTACAACAACGTATACTGCGAGTCCTTTTGTTACATATTGTTGAAAGCCTGTGCAACTTTCTTGCTTCGGCGGGTCGCGCTAATACACGCTAACGCGTCAGCATTGGGGAGGTCTATAAGCCCTGGAGAAATCACCTAGTCCAGGTCTTCCTTCACTACAGTACGTACGAATACGCTGAATAGTAACTTTTGAGATTGTCCGCGGAAAAGTTCAATTACAAAATAACAGTAACTCCGAATAACATTTTGATTTTGAATCGACGTTTCGACTAGTTTGTAGTCATCCTCAGGATTAATTGATTCTTAATCCTGAGGATGACTACAAACTAGTCGAAACGTCGATTAAAAATCAAAATGTTATTCGGAGTTACTGTTATTTTGTATTTTCTTAAAATACTGAGTGGTTCCCGTAATTAAGTTCAAATAAATGCCACATTTACTCTTCTTGAGCTTTTCGATAGCTCGCCACCTCGATCTTGTGGACAATTTTTTTTGCCGTGTGGAAGTGACTACCCCCCTTTCCATGAGCCTCCGACATTCCCACCTACTTAGTGCTCTTTCCTACCCATGCGTCGACAATTGTACCTGCAAATTCTGTTCTAGAAAGATGTGAAATGTCACATTGACCATAAGAGATTATAAAGCAAACGTTCTTTACCTTCGGAGTTTACCTTAGCAGTCGACTCAGCCGTTACCCGCATGCGAAAGTACAAGTAACCGGATGTTATATTACTATGCTATAAATTAACAGTAAGTGTGACAAATCTAGCGTAAATTTCAAACATTCGCGATACCTATCTTTATATTGACGAACTATATATAACCTCTCAAATAACCCACTTGTGCTCTGCCGAAATTTGTAAAAACAAACAGCGATTAAGTATACTATATGACATAACAAGTTATAATCATATCCTGTTAATTGTTAACTTTGATAATTTTAATGGACTTAATTGTTTTAAGATGTTATATTAGATTTTTTGTGAACGAAATGGAGCAGATATACTTCGTTCGCAGAGCATTCTATATATATACATTCTTGAGATATACAATGGTGTTATGGTATATGGGGCCCAGACAATCACTTTCAGAAGTTGTTGGGACACATGTAGTTTTGGATTGTAAGTGGATCGTTACAGTTTTTTTACGCACAATACCGCTCCCATCCCCCTCCCCCCACCCCAATCAATGTTGCTCCAACCAAAGCACATCAAACCTGACGAGAAATGGGACACAACATTGAACAGCGGGCGGGTGGATTGAAGTTTGTTGAAATTCAAAGGTTTTGTGGCATCTGTCCCAAGACTTTTGAAACTGATTGTAGGTCTCCTGAACGGCTTTGACGGCATAAAACACTATTTCACCCGAGTTGTTGTTACGATACTACAAAAGAAAATGGGTATGCTGTGCCGCATGCTCATCTCAACTGGCAATTTAGCATTTCTAGTAATTGAAGAAAACGACAATTCATAAACTCTTTGCAATTCATAAACTTCTTCCGCCTGGTGAATAATTATTAAACCAGGACTGTGGTTTGTAAGTTTTATAAATAAAGCTTTCAGTTGTCTTAAAATGTACACCAAAAATTCAACCAAGAAACATTTAACTTTGTAGACCGAACATGTCGTTACAGAAACTGCCCTCATGCTACAACACTCCAACTCAAGTCGTGTTTACACTACTTTGGCCTGGCCTTGGGCTACATTTTGACAGTGTAAACGTATACAGACCTTGGCCTGACCTAAGCCAGGAAATCTTGGCTCACTACAACCGGTGGCTTAGGCCTGGCCTGGGCTTGTGGAAATGGAAGCACTCTCGGCGCTGACCTGGGCTTTATTCAGTTCCATGGCAACGTGTGTCCGCGCAGTGCGAGATTAGCGGCCAACCGGCGGACAACGTCACAACACATAAAAATACGCAAAATTAATTTACAATTTTTTGGGCCAAATTGAGCCAGTCTCAAATGCCCGTGTAATAGTGTAAACGCGCCACATTTACCTTGGTCTAAACCAAAGCCAGGGCAAGGCTACTACTTGGGCAGGTCTTGGAAAAAATACACGCATATACAATGTCCGTTAGAGTCTTATTTTCTGATTTCCGATGTATTAAAATAATTATGCAGCATTGTATTCGGCTGATGAAAAGGTCAACGTTTGAATTGTAATTAACGTCCCACCAGAGTCGTTTTATTCGACTTGACTGGTGGAATAAAACGACATGGAGAGTTATTTGCTTCAGCGAATAATCAATTTACTGCTTCCGTGGGAATTTTGTAGGGATATTTAGGGATTCGGGGTAGCACGCAAAATGAGGTTATGGAGGGAACCTCGCAGGGAAACTCGTTCAACCAGTTTTATTTCCCGTGGAGTTTTGCAGCGTACACATCAGTGAATTTCCATGTCACGCTTCACGTGCATCTTGGGCCTACTATATATAAAACGTTGAGCGTTAACAGCTCATGATCATTCACCTTTGGCTTCGCAAGGCAAGTTTTAAGTCCCCACAAATTTTCCTTTCCCTCCCTTGCCTCATTTTGCATCCTACGATACATGTTACCGGCGGTTTTTGCACATGGGGCGTTTTTAAACACCCCACCTTTTCTGTGCTATGCATGAATACTAAATTTGTAACATTTATCTGTAATTTGTTATTTTTGTGTTAATCATTAAATCGGCATTGTGCTCCTGCACATTGCCGTTATTTTATCCAGAACGGACTAACGGTGTACTGTCATTGATCTTTTGCATGCAGTCCCTCGCACAGAAAACGGAGCTCATCAGGCTGATAATTTGCCGCTAAAGTTTAGGTTTTATACATTGCTTACTATCGCGGAAGCGATAAAAGGTACTTCATCCCTTATAGATCATTTTTATACAACAAACACCAACCACATTATTTCTAGTGGTGAGACAGCTATCACTATCAGTGATGACTATTTGATCTACGGCATTCGTAAATTTAAAACTTTTAAACAGTCTCCACGGTTTATTGAATACCGGGATTTTAAACACTTCAATGAACAAGACTTTATGCGTAATCTAATATCGTTATCAAATTTGAATCTCATCCATTCTGATCCTAATAAATCTTGGACGATTTGGAAAAACAAATTCCTACCGTGGTTAACAAATGATCTTACTTTAAAAAAGCGGGAGAAGACATATTTAAAATGCAAAGCAGTGTTATCCGAAAGTCTATGTCTATGACTGACTGGTCCGACTACCGCCATGCAAGAAATCGTTATAATAAACTCGTGAAAGATACAATCCGCAGTCATTTTCAAAATAAATTACATAATAACCAAGGTGATCTTAAAAAGCCTGCATGGAAAACGATTAATGAGTTAATTAATAAGTCTAAAAAAGAGAATACAGATCTAGAAGTAAGAATTGATGCTGTTGAAATTACTGATCCGATAAACATCTCAAATGCATTTAATAAGCATTTTGTAGAAATGGGAGATAAGCTTTCGAATGATATACCTCAATCAAATGTAACTCCTGAAAGTTATCTTAGCGACGTTCAAAATTCAGTAAACCACGACATTCTTCTAAAAAAATTAAAAATTTATGGAATAAAAGGCATGGCACTCTGTTGTTTGCGATCATATCTATCAGACAGAATCCAATATTGTCAAGTAAATGATCACCTGTCAGACCCCCTAACTGTGAAGACCGGAATACCACAAAGCTCGGGATTAGGTCCATTATTGTTTTTGATCTATATTAATGATTTTCCAAAATGTTTAAGACACACTAGACCAGATATGTTTGCCGATGACACCCAAATTGCAACATCTAATAGCGATATCAATGTGATCTTAGAGAATCTTAACACAGATTTAATAAATGTTTCGACTTGGATGTCAGCTAATAAATTAACTCTGAACAATAAAAAACAGAATTTATGGTTATAGGTAGCAATAAGCGACTTGGCCAAATAATCCAAGAACCCTCAATTTGTGCGAGAGGCACAGAGATTAAAAAGGTTAATGCAACCAAGTCGCTTGGTCTAATGATTGATGATACTTTATGCTGGTTGGCCCAAGTTGAAAAATTTAAAAAAAATTTAACTCAGGACTCAGCATTATTAGAAGACTGTGGGATATTGTTGATTATAATACTTTAATAACTGTTTATAAATCAATAATCCAACCACACTTTGATTATTGCCCACAAGTTTGGGGTTGCCTAGGAAAGGTTTTATCAGATAAACTTCAGCGTCTCCAAAATAGAGTGTTCCTTATTATTACCCGTGAAGGATATGAAACGCGATCAAAAGATATTCTAATCAAGGCAGGATTTTCAGATCTGCAAACAAGAAGGGAACAACGACTTGCTACATTAATGTATAAGATTAAACATAAAATGGTTCCAAACTACCTGCAGGATATTTTCATCAATACACAAGAAGTCCATAATCATAACACTAGGCATAGTGAATTTAATTATACATTACCAATGCCAAATACCAATGCTATGAAAAAATCATTGGCCTACAGAGGTGCGGAGACTTGGAATGCTCTCCCAATTGACCTGAAGTCGCTAGGAAGTATAGCAACTTTTGAGAGTGGGGTAAAACAACGTAGACTGATATAATGTTAAGTTATAAATATTTTTTTATATTTATAGTAGTTAGCACACAGCCTATTGGAAGATCACTTTTTTCTGGTTGTTTTTGTAAATAATATATTTTAATATACTGTGAAATAGTACCGTGTTTAAATAAAGTTGAAGTTGAATGGACCTTGGCTACGTGCTAGCGGCTACGTTTAGTAAGTAAAACGGGGATTAATTTCATTATAACAAAACCCAAGTCGGCACAATTTAAAGTATATGAAAATGACAGCTAGTGAATGTCATGTAATAGCCAATAATTTAATTCAATGGCAGTGTAAGCTGGGCAGTTATATACTGAAGCACCAAAACTAAGGCGCTTTTTTGCAATATTTCCAAACGTTTCGCGCGAAAGACGGCGAATAGCCTCCTATCATACATATGTATTGAATGCTCGTTAAATTAAATTCCAATGCTAAAAATTCAAACAGATGAAAACAATATTCATTTCACAGATCTAAGCCTGGTATACTTTAATTTAGGGTATTATAATTAGTTGTGGTAGTAATCATGTGTTTATAAAATGCTCCGCTGTCCACCGTCCGCCGTCTGCGTCCGCTTTTTATCTACGCCTGTTTTAGAGGGTACTGAATGCTAGATTATGAATATAACTAGTTATATAATTATTACCTAGGGACCTTAAACAAAAGCCTTTTGGTTTCTAGAAGGTTCCTAGCCCTAATTTTGTAAATATTTCATTCTACTTCTTATTTGTTATGTAATTGGGCGAAAAAGTTTTAAAAAAAAGTGGATAACTTGCAATTCACACCCATGCCAAAAGCACTAGTAGAAATTAAGACACAGATGTGACCTTCTTCGTCTCCAAGGTCATTAACTATGTGTTGTTTAACCAGGTCTGGGGTAGCGCATGGTACATTTCCACAAGCCTGTTCTGAGGATTTGGGCTGCCATGGTAAAAGTTTCCTTTTAAGTTTAATTCAAACATTCTATATATATATATATTAATGCACATTGTTTGCAAGTTCTGCAATATATCAACGTGCGGTCTGCTTCAACTCCATTCTTATAAAGCTCATCAATAAGCCCTGAAAAA